GCACGCAGTGGTTGCACACGCTCGTTCTTGTTCCAGCTTCCATACAGCAGTCCATCGAAGATGCGCATGACAGTGATGCGCAATGCGTGCGGTCGTACTGCCGAAATGCCAACTTCCCCAGCTCCCAAAGGCTTCAACAAATTTCGCCACCAGGAATTGGACCGCAGGTCTAGTCCTTGGTTCCGAATAAACCAAGGGGTTACCCTATTTTTGCCCCACTTTTTGCGTTCGAAGCTCGAAGGAATCTTCAAATCCGCCCTCAAATCTGACCCGCGGTTCTCAGGATTCGCCTGGAGAAGGTCTACGCTCTTCTCCGCCGCTAACAGTTCGCGCGTGGCCCACCGCAGCCTTGCCTCGGATTCTCCGACGCCAAGCTCGAGTTTGTGGGCCAAGATACGGACCCCCGGCTCTCCTTTCGGAAACCCCCAAAATTGTGCTTCCTTTGGCTGGACCCGTGAAATCGCTCGGGGTTTCCCTTTTGGCCTCCCCTCAAAAGCTGCGCCCAGAAGGCCCAACCGCCCCAGCCCGGCCCAGTTGCCTCCTGGTTGTCCGTGGCAACTGCCAGCTCGAAAGTGCACCAGGACCGGCTCAGCGCCGTGGCTGCGAAGTCCAGGAACAGCGCTGTCTCCTGCACACGCAACTTCAAATGACCCACCTGTTTTTGGGGCACAAGCGCGTATTCGGATAAGCCTGCATTCATGTACTAGACGTGCGTCTGCATGTGCATGTGTAGCTTCATGCACTTGTAATAATGTGTTACTTTTTCCGGGACCCTTGTCCATCAGATCATGCAGATCAGACTCGTGACCAATCCATCCAGCGTCAGCGAAGTCATTGAAACACATCCAAACAAACAATCAAACATGCAAGGTGCGTGTAGGACACCCAAAGCTGCAAATCAAGTCCTCCTGCCTCGTCGGGAGCCAAAAAAAGCCAGGAACAACAACTTCCGCCAAGACCAGTTGCCGCTGACGCCTGTAGCATCATTTACGTGCAAGTTGCTCTCACCAACCAAGCTTGAAGGGTGTTCCCCACTACACATGAAACTTCATAGCCTCCCCAAACCCCCCCCCCCCCAAACCCCCCCAAACCCCCGTCCCTTGGACTCTCCTTGGCCTCCGCGCAGCCGTGAAAGAAGGGAGACCGCAGCAGGCTGCTGCCAAGCACCACCTGGCCGTTTGGTTCCGCAGCTCTGGCAGCACCCACCAGGAAATAGCTGAAGTCGCCCGGACGGTGGGAAGGAATGATATCCCCTTTTAAATTCACCAGGGTGAATGTGGTTCACATATCGCACGTCGTGGGGAGTCCACCATGCAAGGCCTAGCCCAACGCAGCAGGACAGCTTTCTTCCCAGATTCACCGCGCTCAACGAGCCACAGGAAGAATCGGAATGCTTGCTCTTCCGCCCCAAAATCGCACATCTGCCACTGACTTTGCTTCGTTCAAGCCGGCCCTTCAGTCGGAGCGTCCCGCACGCAAATGGCAGTACAAAAGGCCCCGGCATCTCTACTCCCCTCCCCGAAATTTGGGTCATTCCTGGTGCATGTCCCAGGGTTGCCACAAAGAGGACAGAAGATCGATTCCTAAGTAAGGCAAACCATAGGAAAAAAGCCGGAGCAAAGCTTCTCTCTCGGCATCCCGGACCCCTCCCAAACCGTGTCGCTCACTAAAAGCCGGGCGCCTCAAACTGGTTGTTCGCGAATGTGCAAATCCACAGGAAGTGGCGCTCCGTGAGGCCACGCTCCATCTCCAAACCCTTCACCGTCGACATGAAGTCGCGGAAGCATTCCTCGCACCGCAAGTGCTCCACCGTTGTTTGTTCCCATGTGTTGCTCGACGCAGGCCGTAAAAACCTAGGTTCCAGAATTTGTCTTGGCGTGAGAGAATGGTGAACCTATCCTGCGCAGGGAACTGGCCTATGTGAGACGCCCATGCCCCCAAACATGAGGGTTCACTCGTTTCACAGTCTGTAAAAACAGAACAATGGCCTCGCTTCGTGCAACTTGAAGCCTTCCACATCTGCCAGCTTCTTTCACATGATTTCCGCGCGCCAAAAACCAAAACGCGCCAAACATCGGCGCCAAACAAAACAACCACCATGCCGACGCGCGAACCAAAACCCAAAACCGAACACCCAAAACCGAACACCGAAACCGTCGTCTTGCGTCTTGCAAGACGAAAGCGGAGGCGCGGCCCAGGAGTGGGAGATGAAGATGTGGGGCTTCTGCGGCTCCTTGGCCACCAGCTCCAGCCAGCTGCACTCCCCGAGCCCCAGGAAACGAATCACCTCGATCGCATCGAGAGCTCGGCTCGCGGGTTTTTGGTTCGGCTTGAGCCGAGCTGCGTCTTTTCTCGGCCCAAAAGAAGCTCCGCCCGACATCTTGGTGTCTCATCATGTGTTTCTGTTTTTTGGGGGAACCGAGCTTCTGCTTTGCTAAGCGGCCCAAAAGTAGCTCAGCCGGGGTAAGTACATTTGGCTCATATCCATCTTGCTGTGTTTCACACTGTGTATCTTGCTCCAGTAGTTATATCTTAAGCGCATCTTACAGACAGTATGGAATGCAGAGCATCTCTTGCTCACGTCTACCCTCAGGCGTCTCTGGCTCGAATGTATCTTGCTCACGTGTATCTTGCTCTTCGTGTTGAAATACATGATTTCGAAAGGAGCGCAAACCTTCCTTCGAGAGGTGTTTCTCTGACGTGCTACGTGTTTTACCTCAAAGTTGCTTGGCTTCGATCCAGAGCTGCAAACATGCACTTCGCTCGCGACTTTTGCGCCGAAGAGTGGCTTGGTTTCGAGCCGGAACAAAGTGCTCTGCGCGCACTACTTTCGCAATTTGACTACACGTTCGGGCAGCCGACGCGCCGAGCAGGCGCAACTTCGCGCGGGGCCACTGCGAGAGCGATCCATCCAGCGCGATCCCCAAGAGGGGCTCGTTTGACTAACCCCAGCTGGTGCCGCCCCAGCTGCATTCAAAGAAAAAATGAGATTGAGACTCACTCGTGAGGAAATGCGAATTTTGGCTTAAGTCTATCTTCTCAGAGCATCTTGCGCAAGTGTGTGTGTGTGTGTGTCTGCTCAAGTCTAGCTTGCTCCTGCTCAAGCTCAAGTCTATCTTGCAAGTACATGTTGAACAAGTCTAACTTGATCAAGTGCATCTTGCTCAAGTATCTCTGTGAGCAGCTGACAAATTATCTTGTGTTCCAATATGCCAAAATTGGATTGTGATCTCGTGCTGGACTCGTTTATATAGACATGTTACAACAACATCCGAAGGGGGTCGTCTCATTTTGCAGTGTTTCGCTTACGTGTTCTACGCTGTCAAGTACACGTATACTATACATATATACTATATGGCCCAGCTCAAGTCTATCTTGTTCATGTGGATCTTGCTCAAGTATAGTTCGACCAAGTCTTTGTCTTTGTTGCTCACGTATGACTCGGCGCGGCCCTTCGTGAAGAACCCCTCGCACTGTTGCGCATGCTCGGTAGGGGGAGACAAAAAAAGAAGAAGAAAAAAACGGGAGCGACGATCCACAGATGCGTTGCCTCACGGCCTAGGCATGCACCGTTTTACAGATTGCCACCTTCTGCTGCTTCGGAGATTCTGACATGGCTGTGGGTCAAAACCAATGGTACCATTTTGGGGTAGGTGCACCACCCATTTTAGTCTATTTTAGTGGGGATTGGGATGTTCACTGGGGGTACGGGATTTTGACCCATGGCCACATGATGCACATCAATTGCTCGTTTCAGCCAGGCCGCCGGCTTGATCACCTCGTCGCAAATCTCGTGCATGGTGATCCTTGGCACATCAAACAAATTCAACGTGCAAAGAGAAGCCTCAATTTCACGCAATGGCCACAGAAATTGGATAGCCCGGATTTGCGGTCGCAAATCTCACTCAGCGCAGCACGGGCGTCAACACCAAACAATATGATGTTTGTCTATGTCTTCCTGCATTTTCCTGCCCAAGAGTCTTCGTGGAGGTGATACGCTCACCCCTAGGACCGCGGGAATCATCGGTGTAGCGCAGGCACCCCGTCTTCGAGAGGCACCTAGGTCGGCTGGCCGTTGCTCGGGAAGCCTGCGGCTCTTCAAGGTGGTGAAGATTCAGGGCTCTTTTTTGATGGCTGGACAGCCCATGGTAGCCAAACACCTCCAGGAATTTCAGACTGTCTTGTGCGCATAACCTCGGGCCGGTCGAATCTGTCGCAACATCCCGGCCTCACGTACTCCCAAAGCTGCTTCAGCTGCAGCACCGAGATGCCCCGCTGGCCGACAGCAATCTGCGCGCGCTGCGGCTTTGGGCCCCAGGGCAGCATGGCGCGGGAAAAGGCACGGGTCCTGCCTTTGGGGCTGCGGGCTTTGCCGCTTGGGCCATGCTGGCCACGCCTCGAGCGGCGAAGAACTTCATCTGCCATGTTGTCCTTGTGCAACTTCGGAGAGGTCTGCTCTTTCGGCCGTCCCTGTGTTGGCGTGTGTGTGTGTGTGCAAACATCTGATGAGGACGCCAGATTTGCTGGCAGACAGTCCCAAGCTTCAATGAAGGGCTCTAGCCTCCAGAATGAGTGGATATCGGCTGACCTCATCTGCTTGACACTCATGAGCTCCCGCCAAGCTGGAAAGACTGGGACAACACTCTTCCTTTCATGAAGCAAACAATTCCAAAACTGCAGAGCCAGGTGCCAAACATCAGTTTGTGTGTCACGCTGTGAGAGGTTGGGTTGTCTGATTGTTGATGGGCCCGTGATTGCTCGGAAAGGTCAATCAGATGTGGATTTTGCAGCTGCAGGAATTTCTGGATGTCATCCCAAACAGTCAAGTCAAATCGCCAGGCTTCGGCCGGGCTTCGGATTTCGACGCAGTCAAACCCACAGAGTGGCTTCGGCTCATCCCGCAAACTATCCCAAGATTCCGGAGGGGCTCAAAAACCAGCCCTTGCAGTGGCAAAAAAACCGCCAGACCTGGCGACATTCCTTCCACTCGGGGCCCCAGCCGTCGCCTCCCGAAGCCCAGCGAGGGACCATGGGAGCGCCTCAAAAATGTTCACGGGAGGTTCAAGGGCTTCGGCGTCCCAGGCTGGCGTTTTTTGATATATATTTTTGCACACTCGCTTATGCAGTGCTTGCAAGAGCTTCTGCTCAAACGGAGTGGATCGCATGTGGGATGGAAGCTGATGTTCTTCAAGTATGCTGAATTGTGTTCTTCCGGAGTGATGGCCACAAAGGCTTGCATGGTCTCACATGAGAAGCAGGCAACGCACATGCCGGCCATGGAGCCGAGGGAAGATTTCAAAGAGAAAAAAGCGACAACACCTTTCCGCAAGAAGAAGACTAACGCCAAGACAGCAAATCACAAAGCATGTCGCAAGGCCTTGCTATTGCGCCGACCACTAGGCTCCTGCGCAAGAATGTTCTGCTCATGCAACACATGTACGCGCCAGCGGCCAACCAACTGGACTGCCCCCAAGCAAAACACTGGCCCAAGTCCGAACACTGAAAGCTGCTGAAATTGGCTCTCGTTCGGTCCAGGTACATGAAGAAGCGTTCCTCCGAACCTCGGAGCATTTCAGCTGTGAAGAAGCACGGGTGAAAACGTCACCTTGCTTGAACCCTGCTTACCCTTCATCAAAAAAAGTTGTGGAATGAGGTGCTGGGGTTGACGCAATTGTTTGTCCGGTTACGATTGGTGCTCGGCACTGCTTCGCTGACATGTGAACGCTTGCGCTGTACATCTTCATTTAAAGCATGCATCAAATCAAGGGCAGAAACCGAGCGTGCTCGTGACAACAAGATCGGCAGATCTTATTTCATAACTCAGCTGTCTCACTTGCCGAAACGGGCTTTGTATTTTGAAGACTTCACCCTGGATACCCCGGCAAGCTCGCAACTCTATGTCGATGAGGTTTCAAAGCGGTGGCCGCCTCCCACTCGTTCCGCCAAGCTGCGCGATCTCCGGGGCATCTGCATCAGGCTAGTTCTAAGTGCGTCCAGGACTGGCCGCCCTCCGCACGCTGGTTCTCCCAAAAGCTTCTTACAAGGCATTTGGTCCCAATCAAAACCCGTTGTTAAAATGGTCGATCCCCAGAACCATGTAAAGAATTAAGAAGGCGGCCGCAACTATTTCTGGCTGGGACTGCCCCTTACTAACCTTCATCTACCCGGGTTTTGGTTGGCGCTCATCGGCCTCTCGCTTTAGCACAGAGCTTTTGGAGAGTGCCAATCCCTCGGGTGAAGCTCCGACGGATCAGAATTTCTCGCAGGGCATCCAGTGACAAATGCCAGGTTCTAAACAAGTCCAGCTTCCAATTGCTCACGGCCTCGAAAAGTACTTCCAATCATCTAGGTTGCTCTGCGGGGCGTGTGAGACACTAAGAGAGTGGCACTTTGGAGGCGGGGCAAAAGAGCGGGTCTGACTTTTCACCATTGGTGTGGCAACAGCTTGACAAACACTGAGATTCAACTCAAGTTTGGATCGTTGAAACCTTTGGATTTCTGTTCTGCTCACTCTGACCTATCGCCTAAGAACACAACCGTTGAAACGGAGAACCCTTCAGCCGCGAGGTGACCCCGCGACGCGGAAAACCTTCGCCTCGCCCCCTGTGCTCTCAATTCTTCCAGGTGCGAATCGGCCACTTCGGGCAGAATTCCGGGCTGGAGCCGAGAGCGAGATCGGCGAGACCGTGACCCCAAACAGCAGCGTGGCCAAGTGTGTCCATCCTCCGCGTCTTTTTTTGGGGAACCTCAGATCAATCAGCCAAGGTCTGGACCTGGACCGGCTGTGTTGAAAAGGGACGGGGAGGTCTAAGCATGCCAGAAGTCACTCACAGTTGCTGTCCAAGTGAAGGTTCAAATGTTCCAGACGCTCAGCTGTGGGCGGGTCTGCCTGAAATTTGGTGGATCAACTCTCGAGCTAACCTGGCGAAGCTTTCGCCGGGACTTCAGCGCCTCCCATCCGAGGAAAAGGTGCGGGACACCTGGCGTAGGCGCAACTGGATCACGAAGCTGGATGTGTGGTGTTGCCTCTTCTTATCATCCGCACCCACTTGGTGGTGTGGTGTCAGGTACCCGAGCACGCGCCAGACAATATGCGTGGAGTTGCTTCCCCTCAAGCCATCTCAGCTGACTCGCGTCACTCGCCTCTGGCCAATGAAACTCTATTGGCCAAAAGCTGGAATTCCCATCTGCCCGCATGGGCCAAAGGCACACAGAGCCCTCCCAGCAAACCCCGCCGCGGCAGCACGGTGGAAGCCAACCACTGACAGGCCCTTGCGCTCGCCTTGCGCCGCGCAAAGCACAAACATCTGCGTTGCTGCCGTTGTTGGCGGTTGCTATTGTTTCAAAAAAAAAAAAAAATGCATGCAGCATGCCCCCCCCCAAAAAAAAAAAAGTGATGATTCCCCATTAACAGCAGGGACACCCCCCTAATGATAAACTGCTGTTGATGAATCGCTGACGCTCTTGCCGCCACTCTACACTTTCAATCCGTCGCACCTCGGTGCCCGAGAGGTGGCCACCTGAGGCCCGGAGCCACAGTGGTCCATCCACTCAACTGCGCTTAACATGGAACTCCAAGAGATTCATTCAGACAAGAACAGAATGGTTCTTGTATTTTGTGTGGTCTAGTGTTCGCCCGCAAAGAAGCTATATCCTGCAAATGCGTGTCTCTGAAGCATGTGTCGATTGAGTGCTCAATCAGAGCACCCGGCTTTGGCTTCTCCTGTCATAGTCTTCACCCAAACAAAAAGCAAACGGTCTCGTGAGAAAACAAGAAAGTAGAGACTGGAACTTGTGCGTTCCACAGAAGAAAAAAATGCAAACCTGTGGTGCATAGGCGCTGGATGTAATGCTGGTGTGCAATGCGCACACTGGCAACTGAGAGGCAAGTACATCGTAACCAGCATGACATCATGTTCAAAAACTGAAAGAGATGAATGTAGCAAACAGAATGCGCCTGGTCGTGGACCGCGATGAGCAGCAGCAGCACCAGCCGCAGCAGCAGCAGCAGCACCAGCACCAGCAGCAGCAGCACCAGCAGCACCAGCAGCAGCAGCAGCAGCAGCAGCAGCAGCAGCAGCAGCCGCAGCAGCAGCACCAGCACCAGCAGCAGCAGCAGCAGCACCAGCAGCAGCAGCAGCAGCAGCAGCAGCACAAATGCAGCCGCAGCAGCAGCGGCAGCATCAGCACCAGCACCAGCACCAGCACCAGCAGCAGCAGCAGCAGCAGCAGCAGCAGCAGCAGCAGCAGCAGCAGCAGCAGACCCAGCAGCACCAGCAGCCGCAGCAGCAGCAGCAGCAGCGATAAAATGAATACATGCAAAAATTGAGCAAACAGCAGGATGCCGAGGGAGGGTACAGCAATTGGAGAAACTAAGCAACCACGGATCAAAGCGCAGTCGGAAACAGTAGGAAGTTGGCTGTGCAGGCCGCGACCTGGGAAAGAGCAGTCAGGAGCCCTGACTAAATCAGGCTAGTGAACTTGCACATTGGTATGCCAGGAGTTCTTACCTCTTTTTTCACCGCAAACGTCACTCACAAAAACCCTTAAGTAGTGGCCCGGACACAGTGCCATTCATGTCAGTTTCACAGCCTCAGGCTTCTCCACCTTCCAAAGTTGCCAAAGCATGAGAGTGGATCCCACAAGGCCACAAATGTTACAAGCAACTTCGCCATTCTGCCGATGCTCTGCGAATGGCTCCTCCAAGCACGGCTCCGGCGTGTGCGATTTGGCAAGGACCTTGGAGCACTTCGCAGCTTCGCGTGGGGTGACAGCCGCTCTTTGAAAGCTGCCCATGGAAACTATACTCAGCTAGGCCAAGAAGACCAAAGAAAAACAAAAACAAACTACAGGCCATGCGGACTTGCCAAGACTGCACAGGTTTCAGAAACCATCTATTCCTGAGCCTCCGTGCATGTAGAGTCTTGGATCTGTTCATCTGGCAAGGCGGCACTCGCGACTCGCGACTGCGGCGATCCCAAGCAGCCAGTGGCTCATGTCTGGTCTCTCGGTTGCGAAATCTTCTCCCCTGCTAAAAGTGACTAACTTTCAATGGTTTAATGGAAAACCCATTAGTTTGGCAAAAAGTTGTTCAGTCCTAACATCCAAGCAAACTGCACCAAAGTAAAAGTGCCTTTGGCAGCGAGAATCTAAAAGGACCCTTGAGATTCAAGAGAAGGCCTGCACATCCAGCAAGGGCAGCGTCACCATGCGCCTGCAAAGCAAATGCCAAGACTCTGACAGAAGCTGCTTGTGGTTGCTGCTTGAAAGTGAACCTGACGTGCCCTGCACAGCGAGCTCCATCCACTTTGCTTATGACCTCTACCTGCTCGTGTACCTGCGATTTGAGGCGCTGAAGGGGGTCGGTCTGTGGATAAATCCTGCCTCCAGCCGAGAAGTGATGGCTCCGCCACATGCAAGCGACACAGCTTTGGCGCCGGCCAAAGAAAAGTGAACCTGACGATGTGACGACGTGAAAGGTTTGAAACAAGTCTGCCCCAAAAAATGCAAAGGCGAACATGCTATGGCAGAGGAGTTTTAAAAGTGCCAAAAAGTGCCCCATTTCTCATTTGTCATAAGGCTCGAAAGCTGGCCTCACTGGCCCAGTGCCAAGCACAAGCCACGAAACCCCCCCTCCACTTAGCGGAGGGAAGCTCCTTGAGCCACGTGTCTAAGACCGCGTGGAGATCGAAGGCCGTGGTGAAACCCCCCCAAAAAACAAACGGGGCTCAGGGCGTGTGCCTTCAATACAGAGAAAATGTGATTGCTGTATGCTCTGGATCAGGCAATCGACTCATTTTCCTTGTCGCGCTTTGTCAAACTCGCTCCGGAGATGCATGACCTGCTAGTCCAAATTTGCGTGTCGCCATACCTCGAGGACTTGTTGATCCAAAGCTGTACAAGCTTGCTAAAGATCCCTGAGGGCTACCCCTATAGCTATGGTCTGCACACTCAAAATCAAACAAACACCTCCGCGTGAGAATTTGACAGGTCGGGGGGGAAGGCTGAAGCTTGGTGGCTTGGTTGTGACCATAGCCTTGGAGTGAACCTCGCCAACCTCTTAGACACGAGTCAGGCTGTCCTAGGAGCGTAGTGGGAACACCCCGGAGACCAAGTCCTAACTTGAGCTGGCGGTGTCCGTCAGAAATCTGCGAAGAGGGCTCCTCAACTCTGGATGCTCGTCAGATATGTTGTACAAGTTGAGGGCTGCTCTGGCTACCTGCTCTTCTGCCTCCTTGATCTTCTTCTTTGTATTCTCAGCAAATGGCGTGCTGAGAAGGTCGCACTCCAGCCCCAGCCCAAGCACCTCTGGGCTCAAGCAGAGCTCGGCACGCCAGGTTTCGCCATGTTGAAAGCACGCGTAGTTCAAATCCCCGCGCAAGTCGCGCTTCAACCTCTTCTGGATGAGCTCCTGCAACCTGCCCTTTGGATTCGGCTCCTGTTCGTTCCGAATCTCATACTGTCGCAACATTGACTGGATTGAGCCGGCAGGGAGACTTCCGGGCAGCACTGGCGGCGTTGTTGGCATTGTTAGCGTCAATGACGCCGGTGGCCCTGGTGGCGCCTGACGTTTCTGTGCCCATGGCAGGCACGGGCAAAGGATTGCGGACAATGAGAACGACATTGGACTCGCAGTCGCCGGACGTTGCTTGACTTGAGACTGCCACGCAAGCGAGCACATCCACTTCACGTCTGCATCAGCTACCCACCAACCAGAGAAAGAAACGGATATCGATATTCCTGTCCTGAATTCGTTGGGTGGGCAAATTAAAGGACGTGCGACGTGGCATCAACTTTTTTGGAGCTTGACTGGCCGACTGCGACGTTGTTCTCTATTTTTCCCTGCAAAGCACCATGAAACACAGGGCTCATGTCTAAGCATGAAGCAGCCTTGCAAAACAAAGCTATCAGGAGATCTAGTACCTCATTGAAACAAGGCCACTTCACATGACTATACAGGGCGATGTCTGCCAAAGACGAAGTCCAGACTGGCATATCGGTGCATGAGACCTGTGTCAGGAAGCTTTTGATCAGTGAATGAATCCAATAGGATTGTTCCTCGCTGTGTCCAAAGTACATTGACACGCCTCCTACGACGCAGCTCTGCGGTGTTGAATTGCTGCCAAGGCACATCCGAAAGCACGTGGCCTTCAATTTCACTGAACTTAGCCCCGATTCCGAAGTGTCTTGAGAGACGCCAGTGCCTTGGCATGCCTTTTAGGCACTTAATTAAGACAGAGGACATAAACACATCTTCAAAGTGCCGCAATCTTATAGACTGGCTGCACTCTCCTGGGCTCAGCTAATCTGTTTGCGGGCGGTCAGCCGTCTGCGAGGAGCGGCCTGGCCACGGGGCACGAACAGCGACCACAAACGCAACAGCTTGTCTCCACAAACGCAACAGCTTGTCTGGAGGTTGGCCATCCCTTTCGTCTCTCTCTCTCTCTCTCTCACTCTATCAGTTTTTGTTCAATATCTCTCTCTCTCTCTCTCGTTCTTTATTTCTTTCTTTCTTCCTTCCTTCCTTTCTTTCTTTCTTTCTTCCTTTCTCTCTTTCCTGCCTGCCTGCCTGCCTGCCTTCCTTCCTTCCTTCCTTCCTTCCTTCCTTCCTTCCTTCCTTCCTTCCTTCCCTCCTTCCCTCCTTCCCTCCTTCCCTCCTTCCCTCCTTCCCTCCTTCCCTCCTTCCTTCCCTCCTTCCCTCCTTCCCTCCTTCCCTCCTTCCCTCCTTCCCTCCTTCCCTCCTTCCCTCCTTCCCTCCTTCCCTCCTTCCCTCCTTCCTTCCCTCCTTCCCTCCTTCCCTCCTTCCCTCCTTCCCTCCTTCCCTCCTTCCTTCCTTCCTTCCTTCCTTCCTTCCTTCCTTCCTTCCTTCCTTCCTTCCTTCCTTCCTTCCTTCCTTCCTTCCTTCCTTCCTTCCTTCCTTCCTTCCTTCCTTCCTTCCTTCCTTCCTTCCTTCCTTCCTTCCTTCCTTCTCTATCTCTCCCTCTCTCCCTATCTCTCCCTGGCCATACACAGCCAAGCGCGCCTCCAGCTGCCGCGCGTTCTCCTGACCACATCGTGGCGCAATATGCCGGGTGAACAAGGCAACTCGCGAGTTAAGGCGGTGCTGCGCCAAATACAGACTCCAATGCTCTCGGGCAGCCATTTGGCCATGAGTCAAAACCGAAATCGCACCCCCAGTGAACATCCCAATCCAACCACTAAAATAGGTTCTACAATGGGCGGTGCACCTACCCCAAAATGGTACCATTGGCTTTGAACCACGGCCATTTTGCGCAACTGTTCGAATTATAGTTGCCCTGTTGTTGTCCATACTGGGGCTCGTCGCCCGCTTCAAATTGCAAGGTTCTATATCTGTGAACGGATGCGGCAGCCAGAAATACTCGTCTGACAGCAAAAAACGTCCATGCCGATGGTTGAGTTGGTTCGTAGCTCAGAAGTTTTGCTTGGCAACTCGCCAAGAACTTTCTGTGCTTGAGACGTCCTCCCGATCCCTTCCGATTTTGACTCTTGCAGAGGCCTCGGCAAGCACGCTGCGCTGCAGCTTTTCCTGCGGAATGCTCCATGTGGGAAGGAAATTTCAAGTGGGAGCCTCTTTGGCATCATTTCCACGAGTGGGTTTCTATTTCTTTTGCCAGATCATAGCAAAGTGTCCCATGCAGAACTTGAAGCAATGTCTGACTTCAGCTCTATTACATCCCACCCTTGCGGTCATTCATGCTTTCCCAGGTGGCACCAAGCGAACTCCACCCTGCCACCCTGCCACCCTGCAAGCTCTGCATCCGCCGGCGCCTCACGCTCCACCAACGAAGCCTCTTGCTCCTTGAGCTGGCGCATGCATTCCGCCTGGCTGGGTTGGGTTTTCTGCAAAGATGTGTCCATGGGTCAAAATCCAAATTGCACCCCCAGCGAACATCCCAATTCAACCAGTAAAATAGGTTCTAAAATGGGTGGTGCACCTACCCCAAAATGGTACCATTGGTTTTGACCCGCAGCCATATCGTCACGTTCTAGACGTTCGCTCAATCTTCATTGGAGTATTGCATGATTGCACTAGCAGTAGCCAATTCATAGCAGTCGGGCGGGCTAGGCTCATCAACTTTCTTGAACACAACCAGCACACAACCAGTACACAACCACCACACTGCCTCCTTTCGTGGCCAACCCCGAGCCGGGCCAGAACTTTTCCCCCTGGCCTTCTGCACCCGAAACCGCTCTTCGCAGCACACCACCCGCCGCTCGCGCTCCGCCAGGTGCTGGTCCTGCTCCTCCTGAAAACCGAAACCCGACGTTGCCGGTGATCGAAGACATCTCCCTGGCCCACACCGGGCTTTTTGTCGCATACAAGCTATGTCCCCCCCCAATCCCATGAAAAATGTGGAACAAAGCTTGCCCAAGCTGGCGGATTGGCAATTCATATCCGGCGAGAAGCGTGTCTGGTTTCCGGAATCTTGGACCTTCTCACATGCGCTGCTTGACCTACACTAAGCTGGTTTTGCATAGATATGCACGGCTTGCACCTTGCCTTGCCTGCGTCTAACCGCCGAGTAATGCAAGTCTGGCATGCGAATATCCCTGCCTGCATCCGGGCCTTCTCATCCAGGGCCTGGAAGTTCAAAATTGGCTGTGAGCATTCGATGGCACTTGACGCAAAAAATAGGAAAGCCAGTGCACAGGACCAAACAAAGCGCCATGAAAATCCAAATCCGCGGGCGTCCTACACATTGGCGTTCCTTTGCCAGATTCCTTCCTACTTCTCTCATCCATCTGTCCTGGCTCTAAGCAATTTGCCACTCCCCCCCCCCAACCCGCGCGGCAAAATGGCCACCAAGACGAACACGACCAGGTGGCCGGCGCTCCCGCCACTCCCACTGCACTCCAACCAAAACCCCTGCACCCTCCCGGCCTCCCGGTCCATGTCCCTCCGCGCGGGCTCGCAGCTCTGCCTGCCGCAGGACCAAGGTGGCAAGGAGCATTGCAGAAAACCGCAAGAGAGACCACATCTCGTGAATAAGACCGTGGATGGACGGAATCCGTTTCGCACCACTTTGAAACAATGGGAAGCAATTAGTTTGTTGGTATTTACACGGGAATCATCATCCCAAGCTTTGTTGGGTGGAAATGATCACATCTCGCGAATAATACTGTGGATGGTTGCGACATCCATTTCGCACACCCTAAGGAACCCTAGTTTCTGATGGTTCCCCTGTAAATTCAAATAAACAATGGTTTCCCATGGTTTCCAAGTGGTGCAGGATTTGGTCGATGTCTTGCCATCTATGCAGCTTTGCCTTGATATACCGCCCAAGGAGTCCGCTCAGGGCGAAAACTGGAGACTTGAGCTATCATTTGCAACTACTTGGACTTTACCGGAAACTGCGGGGGCAACCAAGAACAACATGTAACCGCCATGTTAACCAGCTTGCATGTCTGACGTACATTTTTAAAGGGAAGTTTCTCCGAAACCAGCGACAGAAAACAAGAGCTGATGTAAAGCCCTGACCGGCACTCCCGCCTGGAGCGCCGCATCCCCTCTCGGAAAGCGCGCTCCGCATTGGTGACGTCTTCCTGCAGGCACGCTGCCCCACGCTCGCACGCGGGCAAAACAGCAAACGACTGGAAAGAAAATCGGCTCAAAGAGGCACCTGGGATGTCCCACAATATCCGACCATTCGGGTATGACTTTTAGCTGGGGACCCTTTGGTGGATATCATTCAAATGAGGATTCATGTCCACCAATCACTTCTGAAGTGGTTCCCTCTTAAAATTCATAGCCATATGGCCTTGTCTTCTTTTGATGGCACTCTTTTCGGGATTGGTTTCAAGGCAACCAAAGTTTTGCTGAGGAAGGCAGCGGCACCATTGCCAATCCCATTCAGGCGCCTTGCTTTGTTGCCAACAATGGCTGGTGTTCCTTTTCGGTTTCCTTTAGAAGAAAAAACACACCCAAAAGGCGGGAGCCCCCCAAAAAATCAAGAACAACACCGGAAGAAATGGGGAGCCCGCAAAAAAAAAAAAAAAAGGAACTCTCCAAAAACCCGCCAAAAAACGGGAGCCCTCCAAAAAAGACGGATAGACCCCTTCTCCCCCCCCCCCCCGACCGTCCCGACCCCACTCCGACCTCCCGGGCCGCCACGGCGGTCTCGCGCTCCAGGAGGCTCTGCTCCCTGCGGGAGGCCAGCTGCAGGCGCTCCGCCAGGGCCTCGCTCGCCGCGGGTTCTTCGGGCGCCGGGGGACCGGAGTCCCGGGGATTGATCAAAACCTCGACGGTGCAAGGGCAGCAAAGGTTCTAATTTTAGCAGTTCAGTGGTTGGATGTTCCACGAAACCACAAGCGAAAATGGGAAAAATGTTTCCCAACAACGATGATTCGGTTCCTTGTCCATGCTTGTCCATGCTGGAACCATTCTTGTCCATTTGTCCGGGGTGTTCATTCCTTCTCCATTCTGTTCAACCGTTCTTTTCAAAAACCCAATCGCCGTTTCCCTGGGCTTCGCACGGGGTTTCCTAGAAAGAAGGATTCCTGCAAAGAAGGGGGAAGGTACTCCTAGAATGGTGCAAATTTCCAGGGGCCCGAACTGGTGGACACCAAGTTTGGGGATTTATGTCTACCACGTTGAAAAAAAACATAGCTACACGGGTGGCTTGTTTCGGTTAGAGCCCGGAAAAAATAGGCCGTGTCCTGTGTCTTGAAACGGGGGTGGGACCCTGAAAGGCTTAAGCAAAAGGGGGGTTCGAAAAAACAAGGACACCCCCACATAACGTCCTTTTGTGCCAACCCTTTGTGCCAACCAAGGGCCCTCTGAAAAGTCCGGCTCTTGACACTGGAGCCACGGCCCCAGCCACACGTCTCGCCCCCGCCTCCTCGCGATGCGCGAAGCGCTGGGTTTCGCAGCCCGCCTGCCGCTCCTCCGGTCCGGTTCGAACCCGATGGACACCAATGGAGAGCCCGACCCGAACGCAGTCGTCTTTGGCAGGGCTTTGAAAAGCGAACCTTTAGAAACCGCTTCCTACTTGCCAAAAAAGCAAGCCACATGCAGAGACGACGAAATCGCCATGAGGTGAGATTGCGGACACAATCGAGCGATCTTCAACGGATTCGCGGCCAAACTGGGAGTTAGAAGTGAAGATTGGCTTCTGGAGCCAATGAGCAAGGCGGGGCCACAACAATGGCACTGAGCGTAGCCGCGCATGCTTTCTTCTGGATCCCCAATTGGCTGTGGGTCAAAACCAATGGTACCATTTTGGGGTAGGTGCACCACCCATTTTAGTCTATTTTGGTGGTTGGATTGAGATGTTCACTCGGGCTACGGGATTTTGACCCAAAGGCCAATTGTTGAAGCTTCAGCCTCACCAAACCGCGCGCTTCCAAGGCCCCTGGCCCTCTTTGACAGCTCGTCCGTCTGCCCCTGGAGATCTGCCTGTGCGCCACCCTCCCGTGAAGACTTCCTGCAACAAAAGCATATGGGTTGATCCCCCAAAATGAAGACCCCTCCTACCACTATGAATCAGCCAAACAGCCAAACCGTTCATGGTTTGAGCAAAGAGAAAATAAGATTTGGATAGAAAGGACTTGGCTCAGACAAGTTGAAGAACATGAAGAACAAAGACGGACCAGTGTGGACTCAAAGCGTCCAAGAGCGATGCCGCCTTATCCATTGCGCGACTGGTCCTGCCTCATTTTCTCCCAAGGCCACATTCAAATCCAAATAAACTTCTGGATTGACTTGGAGGACACTTGCATTTCAGCCCTTCCATTGAATCCGACATTCCCACTGCAGAAGGATCCATTTGTGTGATGGGCTTGTAGCACGGAAGCTGGACATGCTCTGGAAACTAACCAATTGCCACTGTGCATGGTTTAATCAAACTTATTGGAGGAAATCCAAGAAGAAAAAACATTCCTGCCCCCATGAACATTCTCACACACAATTCTGCAGCGGCCCTCGCTATGAAACAAGGAGCCCGCATAGGACTGACGCTCCTGGCTCCCTGAATGAGAGTCCTCACATTGGTACTTGTGCCATGGTCCACCCCCCGCCTCCCCTGCAAACTCAAGCAAACGGGCTCCAAATGACCGCACCCAACCACCTGAATGGCATCATCCCTGCTCTCCAGAAGGTTTGGCATGTTTGTTGCCTGAAGGAATGTCTGGACGTGTCACACTCCAAACTTCGACAGCCTCTCGAGCAGCCAGCGCTCCCCGCTGCTGCTGAAGCTCCCTCCTGTCTGTTGCAGCCGCACAGCACTGAGCCGCTGCGCACCGACATGCTCGACAATTGCATCTTATCACTTTCGGAAAGATCGCCGCAGAAGTGGCACATGAGATGAGACCAAGTCCTGAGGGCGATGAGTTCCTTCTCACTGGCAGCCTGCGCCTGCCAGCCGGAAGCCGGAGGAGACATGCTGCAAGCGGACTTGGGCCATGAGTCCTCAGTAGTTGCCAGCGACTCCCCCCAAATCATCGAAAACAAAAGGCTGGTCCATGACATGATACTCCCTGTTCCGTTTATCCCTTCAGTCAAATACCACGCCTCTGCTAGACTTGCCAAAGCACTATCTTAAACACTTGGGAGGAGCTGAGGAACTTATACAATGATGTCAAGAATCTTCTGCCGGTTGAAGCTTGATCGACATGCCTTCCCATCAACAATTCAAATCACAGGATTCACATCCTTTTGGTTCAGTAGGTGCTGCCTCCAATCTAAACACAATTGATGCTTTTTGAATGAATCTCGACCCAGGAACCACATTCATGGCTGTGGCTCAAAAAATTAGTATCAAAATGGAACCCTGGTAAGTGGAAACACGCGCGCTTCCGCGCGCGCGCTTGCACGCTGCCTCACGCTGCTCCTCCATCCGCTCTGCCGCAGATCCGGCTGCGCGCTCGCGGGCAGTCAACGCCTGTCGGCAAGCCAAGCTCATCCTGATTTGTCTTATTGTTCGGCGGGATTACTACACATTCTTGGCGCTACCCTGCTCACAGCTCAGACATACTTACGGCCCATGCCTTAGCAAACCGCGGAATGCTTCTTAGCCACAAGGTCGCTGAACCAAGTTATTTGGACGCGTCATCAGCTTTGAGAGACAATCATACATAAACCGTTGTGGCCAAGGATGAATCAGAACTTTGGACTGCATCCTGATGAGCAGCCTTTGCCCAAAACATCACTGAAGGCAGCTGCGGGACAACATGTGATGGGAAGTCTGGACTTGGAAGCGTCCTTTTTTCCTGAACCTTGGCACAAACTCACTACTGCCTGGACAGCCCCCCCTCGTTTTGGCCCTGTGCTCCAGGGTCCCCCGGCCCCGCGCATGCTCTTTTGCAAAGCGCACATGTTGCAAGCGCGGAACTGAAGCGCATATCGGCCCGAGCCTACGGTGAGGAACAAGCCAACGACTGACCGCGTCTTCGGAGCGATTGTGAAACGTGCTCACTGGAGCCCGCAGTCTCGTGGGATCTCCACCGGAATCAGCTGAAGTCAGTCTTCACCGGTCCCCAAAGTTGCCGACTTTCCTCGTCGTCATGGTCATCATAGAGTGGCTCCTCCGCAGATTCACGAAGGAACCGCGAACAAGCACATCCGAAGCGTCACTCAAAAGCCTCGCAAAGTAACAAGGGCTAGGCCAGCCGCTTGCGTTTTTAATATTTTCTTGTATATATATATATATGTATATATATATATATATATGTCACTGCCACTGTCCAGCCGCTCGTGTACCAATGTTCAAGCTACGGCCGTCAGTGCGGAGTCCTCAGTCGGGATCCTGAGGATGAAGTGTCCGGAGCAACGGAAGGAGTCTCTACTCTTCTCCGCCTCCTTGTCGCACAAATGCCTGCCTCGTTGTGCGAACCTCACTGCCAAAGGAGCGAGAGACCACCTTTTGGGACCCTTACCCCCAAAACAGTGATCAAAATTGGAAAACCAAAGGTGAAAAGGTCGGCTTCGGAAAGTAAGGAACGCTTTCATGAGGTCAGCGTTGCGGTCTGCGGCTGCAGACATGCCGCTCCACTTGTCTGACACCTCCTGGCCAATCGAGGTGCTGTTGTCGTTGAACTCCAAGGTGTACTTGCAGCTGGATTCGGGAAATCCGCTCCCATCCACTTCAAGTCTCACAATGTTGGCTTTGCAGTATGGGACGGCTTCGCCAACCCGAAAGTTGTCAAAGTAGGCTTCCGTGCCGTCCTTGGAGAACAAGCGGCACATCAACCAACGTGTGTCTGTCTCCAAACGAGGAAACCAAAACACAGGATTGGTGTTCCCTCTTGTTTCCTTTGCAAAGGCCAACAAAACGGGGTACAAACATGCAGAGAGCCCAGATGCTTAAAATCCTTCCAGAACTCTGGCCCGCACCCTCTCCAGCCCACTTCTGAGCCTATCAGAGACAAACACCAAAGCTATTTTTATCAAGTGTGTCTGCTTGTTTGGAAAAGCATACTTGTCGTTGTTGGTTTGCGCGAACCAACTCTTGTTGCTTTCGTGCCTCGGGAATGTGGCACGCGTCACGACGTCACGGCTCACCGCATGTGTAGTACCACACTACCACGACCACCACACACATATAGATACATATACATATACATGATGTATATACACCATACATGCATATCATACCATACCATGCCATGCCATACCATACCATACCATACCTTACCCTACATTACTTTGCATCATAACCTGCATGCATGCATGCATATACACATGAACACACTGCCATCTGTCAGGGCTTGAATATTATGCTATGCTTTTACTTGAGCACGCAAGCCAAAGCAAGAAGCAAAAGTGGTGGTTCCCCCCTCAGCGGGGGCGCACACATTTACACACTTCACACCTAGGATTGAAAAAGTCAATATGTTGTTCAGGATAGTGGCTTTTCCGCCAACGAGTCAGAGCGGCATGAAAGAAAAGAGGGAGACGGGATGAAAAGAAGCATGCTCCGAGCTACATGGTTTACATCATTGAAACTTCCGCTCGCTGGCTCTGCCGGACTCTACTGGCAATCTCCCCCAACATTGCCTTTGAAACACGGTTTCTGCAACCCTGTGGGTTGCAAGCTACACAAAGCTCCGAAACGGTTCCAAACCCGCGAATTTCTAAGCTCCTGCTTCGGTGAAACCGACTGATCCAAACGACTTCTGAGGCATCACCGAGAAGCAATCCGCACGGAATACGCGGCATCGATCTCCAGCGGCTTTCCCGGACATCTTGCTGTGATCCTGGGCTCAACCCGTGCGGTGAGGTTAGGGTTGCGAGGGGAAAGCAAATTTGGCCATGGGTCAAAAGCCAAAGCCCGCGTATCCCCCAGTGAACATCCCAATCCAACCACTAAAATAGGTTCTAGAATGGGTGGGGAATTCACCAACCAGCCAAAATGGTACCATTGGTCCACGGCCATTTGAGTTGGTCCTACAAAGGGTGATTTCGTCCATCTACTGTGTCGCTCTGTCATCCGTGTGCTCTTCTACCCCTACACTGGCAGGGCGAGTGTTGCTACACTTGCCAGCGCCTTTTCATGGCGCTTCCATGGCCGTTTCCATAGCGAGCTGAGTGCTTTTGGATTGAATCGTTGCGGGCATGTTGCAGCATTTATCAGTTGGCTGCTTTGATTGATTGGTTTAATTGTTGGACTTGCATGTCATTTGCGCAGAACTTCATAACACGTTTCGCTGGTCCATTGCAGTGCCTAAATCTCTGGAACAAAGCCGGAGGCACTGCGACAGTAGTCGAGTGAACAGGCGCTGAACTACAGCAGATGGACAACGGGGCCAAACACCAGACCTAACGAATCCTGCACCCCACACCCCAGATCTCAAGGTCGAAACGCTGCTGGCTTTGTACAATGCGGGGTTTGATTATCTCTCCACTGGGCTCTGGGCCCTGCAGAACATGCCATTGAGATTTGGGGACGGAGGGGTAGACTCAAAGTGAAGGCTTTGAATACTCTGTGGATGGACTGGTGGGTGGCATATCCGGCTCAACTGCGACTGGTGAACCGGAGACTAACGCCGTTTGTTCGGCTTTTTCGATGCAGGCAACGCAGCCACGGAAACGCGTCTAGCGCGCGGTACAGCACGGGCCTAAAGTGCTGCAAATGCCGGTTGTCCAAACTGTCGAACCCCTCAAAATGTGGCATTCCTTGCGGGTCTTGCCGGGTGAGAGGGTGAACCGATGCCACATATTGAAATGTGCTGAGAACAAAGCTGGTGCAAAAACCTAAACAAATCGGCCGCTCCTGGTGCCCTGCTCGACGCAGCAGCTTGTCGCCTCGCCCAGGTCCAGCGTGGGAGTGTCTTGCAACGGCCAGTTCCCTAGCGAAATCAGCCTCAGAAGGCAGTATGGGCTGATCATGTGTAAAATTCAGAGCTTCTTGGGGCATGGTTCTCCTGATGCCTTTTTGGCTTGTTGTTGCTGTTGTTTTTTGTTTTTTGTTTTTAATGGACCAAAAAAGGGATACCCAAAAAACATAGCCCCGTGATACAACCCTTCATGAAGATGTCCGTTTGGAGGGGGCCATTGGTGGGTTGGCGGGTAAGTGGGAAGAGTGGTAAGCCTTAAGACTGTCCAGTAGGCATGAAGGCCAAACTGGCAACTGATAGCGCAAAAAGGGAACAGCAAGCTCAAAGTTGCAGCTACGGCCAGTCTGGAGAAGCTCGAGCTGAAAATATGAATCAAAAAAAGCCACCCTTGGCTTTGAAAGGGCTTCTATCCTGGCTCACTGAGGACCCCGCGTTGGAATGCACCAAAGGGTATCCTACCAAAAGCATTCGTCCTTTGGCACTGCTGGGAAGGATCGCCTTGTGGCCTTGCCTCTGGACCAAAAAAGAAAAAGGCCTCCTGATGTTATCATGGTCAACGAGATCCCTCAAGTGAAGAAGGTTGAAGGGAAGCCACCAAAGCCATTGCTGACTTTGAAACCCAACCGAAAAGGGCCAAAAACATGAGCCAAAAAAAACTGAGCGGCTGATGGCATGTCTGGATGAGCATGCCGCAGGAGTCATCGACGGGGAGGTCGCTGCCTTTGCAAACCGCAAGTCTTGACGAGTCATGGGGACAGCAGGAGCGGTTCAATGCTCGGGTGTTGAAATCGGAAATCGGCGTTGCGGACAGGACGTTGGTCTTTTTGGGACACGCGGTCTTCGTTGCCAATTTGTTAATTTGTTGAAGGCAATAAAAGGAAACCAACCCCTCGAGGTCGCGCAATTTGGAGACCGGCGCCTTCGGCCACCGCGGGATTTCCTGGTTTCCGGTCGGTGCGGGGGAATCGAACTGGCAAGCTGGGCCAACCTGACAAGCTTTCTGTGGCCTCGATGTTCGGATAGCTGACAAGGACACCGGGCAAACTCAAGTGGCAACGCGTACTGAGATTGATTCTCTTGTATGTGCCAAGTCCTGTCTGGAACAGTGGACACGGGTGCCATAAAAGCACAAACGTCACCAGCTTGTTTTCAGCTGCAAAATGCAAGATGCATCCTGATGCTCACGCCTGGGGGGTTGACAATCTTGCCGATCTGCCTCTCACCGCCCGAGTGCAGCGTCACAGAATCGCCTGCACACGGCTCCCATCACACCAAATCAGACTCGTCTAGAGGGAGATAAACCTGAACGACGAGTTTTCTTTGGCCAAGAAAAGAGCAGGTTTTATTCATCTTCCGACGAGATGATGAGGCTAAGAGCTGGTGCGCGGCGCGCCAGAGTACTTAATATCACAGGCTCAACAGTCTTAATACTGTGACTGAATCACATAATCAGACTGCACGTAACTGCCTCAGTAGCACTGAGTCAATAGCGCTGCGTCACTATCACAGTCCATCACATAGACCACTGTCCACGGTCTCAGTGCAATCACGTAGCCCGCTGTGCACTGTGTCACTTCATTGTGTGAATTTCACTGTTTCAGCATCACCGTCAAAATTTTATTCTAGGCCGACTCGGCTTCGCAAATGTGTGCCCATGCTTCCGGGTCATCTAGTTCCCAGGAGGCTCATGCACGCCCTACCGACCGACGTGGGCGCAAGACCTTCGCAAGCATCTGTTGCCGGTGGCAAAGAGTCTTTTGCCAGAGCCTCGAATTACCAAACCCAGCACAAAAAAAATAAAAATAACGATTTGCCGCAGGACTTTGCGCAGGATCGCGGAAACCTACCCAAAACATGTTTTAATTACCACTGACTGGGTAAGCCTTTTCCGATTTGGCTTCACCAACTGTCAGGGTTCAAGGCCGCAAAACCACCTATCCAAACAACCAACTGAGGGCACTTGGCCAGTCTTTGCTGCACAGTCCTTTTTTCAAGCACCCCTTTTTCTAGGGACTGCCAAAAGGAGAAAGAAAGAAAAAAAGGAAAACCAACTCCTGGGGGGGTCCACAGCTTTGACGCAGACCCAAAAAGGAACGTGGATGAGAACAGCTAGGGCTCCCTTCCCAAGCAACGAAAGTCCCGAAACTGGACGCGATTTCCGGAAAACATCAAGTCCAGCAGCCACTTGTCTACGAGACTTTTCGCTTGGGCCATTTGCTTTCTCAACATTTTGATCAACCCCATTCCAGACTGCTTAGCCTCGCCCGCCTTTGAAACCAGACTTGGCGTGCATCGGGTCACACTGTGGACACACACCCTCCCTCGTCATTGTGACGAACGAGCGAAAAAAGAAAAGAGGGCGAGCGTGAAGAAACGGTTTGGGCCTAGAGGCTGGGAAGCGGTCAGATCCCCCTTTAGATCGTAAAGCCCCAACCGCTCACGTCACTGAAACCCATGCTGCTGCCCTGAAGCGAGCCACCCTGAGTTTTTGTGGTATTGCCTTCGCCTCAACGTGATGCCAGGCTCTGAGGACCTTTCCCCCCCAGTTTCTGCGTAGCTCGTGCTCTGAGCCAAGGCCCCAAACAAAGCTGCGCAGACGGCGATGTTACCTGACCACCTTGGCAGCTGCAGTGCGCCAGAGAAGACCTGCCCAGCGCGCCACGTCAGAAGCCTTCTGTCCACCCGCAATAGGCCTTTCTTGGTCTTCCCTCATCCGCCAGCTCGCGCGCAGCCGCCACGGCGACCTGTGCGATCCGTGTGCAGCCTGCTTGCCCTACACGTGAGCAGACCCCCACTCAGCGCAAGCCGCCCTGCGGCCGGCCTGAGCCCGTCATGCCAATCCAGCTCATTCCAGCCACCTCGTTGGCCGGCCCGCCACTCAAGTTCAAGTTCCTGCAAATAACTTCCCCTGAAGCTCAGCAGACTGCTCAGCCCCGGCATCATTTGCTCAAGCCCGCATTGCTCTTGCGGTTCTTTTGAGACTCACCGAGGCAGGCACCCCACAGCGTTTCCAATCAGTTTACCGTTCACAAAGCCTTCACTGAAGGTGGTTTTCCATTTGTTGCCCTCGAAGAAAGGCCCACATCAAACACCCTGGACCGCTGACCCCGGCCCCAAAGCACCTACGCGGAACATCGGATCTCTGGGCACTTCGGAGGGCAACATCTTGCGGAAGCAATCTGCAGTAGGGGCTCCACACCTGAGCAAACAAGAATGGCTGCGAAGCGATAACGAGACATCTTCATCGTCTATCTCAACCCTTTGAGAAGTATGATGAGTGCATGTCAGCAATAGGTGAGTCGGATTCGACCATGGAAACACACACACACACACACACAGCTTCTTTCAATGTATAGCCGCGGCACCAGTGCTTCCAGCTGATTGTTTCCCCGCTGCACTTCTGGAGGTGATACCTGGGACAACAAGTCTGAGTCTCTTCTGCAAGTACCTTTTCGGTGTGGATTGGGCCATTTTTCGATCCACACTGATAGTTCTTCTTTGAAACGGTGGCGATTCTCGATCCAGGAACACAGTGCTGCAACGCGGTCCATCACCGCACTCCCTTCAAGCACTCGGAAATTCACCCGTCAGCACCAGCACCTCCACTTGCTTGCATAGCAGCCAGCTGGCAATGAGAAGCAGCTCATTCTCTTGATCAGAAGGACCCAGCAACCTGTTCCCCAGGACTTTGACCGAAGCTCAACTCGCCCAGGTCTGAGTCAGGACAAACTAGGCATCCACTTCGGACATCTCAGACAAGTCGCTCGCAGTGTGGAAATACCCCGGCCTTCGAGATCTTTGCAGGCCACTGCTTCTGATTCTGGTCAATGTACAAGACATTGTCCGTTTCCCGCTTGGAGCTGGTGGGATATCCATCCTCGTCACCTTAGCTCGGGAACCACGGGTCAAGAAAAATGGAGGCACAGAAAACAACAAAGGAGCTCAGCGGTGTGCCGTTTGCAGCTACTCAAATCTCATAGCGCCATTCATGGAGAGCAAGTGTGCCATTACCGAAAAAAAAAACAGGTGTGGCAAGCACGAAAACACCTGCATCAAGTTGCTCTTCCACCGTCACAAACAGCCGTAAAACAAGAAACCAAGGAGCATTATTCATTTAGAGGGCATGACCTCAAATTCGACTTCATATATTGTTTCCAGTAAATCCGGCTTCAGAATTCAAGTTGAGCCTGGTGAAGCGTAAGAACAAACATGCATGATGTGCCAGAAATAACAATGCAGCTTGTATGGATTGCCAACCTGTCTGCTTGCTGGTGATGTAGGCACTGCCCGCTCATTTCGATGCTTGAAGACAAGGCGAGTTTCAACATCCTCTCCTTTTTGCCTTACGGCGACTGAATCGCATCCCCACCTCCCGGATACAAGTGCAAGGCACCATCAGCTATGCAGGACCGCTTGCCGCCGTCTCCACAGCTGCCGCTGTGTTTGGCGTCCATGCGATGGCCATCGCAGAACTCCACCGTGCAGCCAACGCCAGTGACATCCTAGGTGTCCGCTGAATGTCCCTGCGGACATACAAAAGAGGAACGGCTCGCCCAACCGACCCCAGTCCCGGATCCACCCGTCAAACATCAAATCCAACTCTCCCCACTACACCGCCCATGTCCCCTCTGCGCTGGTGGATGTCTGCGAGGCAGTGGCCAACCCCAAAACGCGAAACACGGCCCAACGTTCTGTTCGTCACGCGACGCTCTGCCAAGATTCCGTCACCTTGACGCTGTGTTGCGCACCTTCGCCATCCACGTAGACCGTGTACTGCCTTGCTTGGAATCAGACAATCGCTTGGCTTGCGCACCTTTTCGAAGCTCCCTCACTCACAAAGCACCGGAGATACCGCGCATTGAGAGTTTGAAGGGCGCCGCGGCAGCAAAAGAATGGACGCCTGCCAAATCAATTCTGGAAAGGCTGGAGATGTCTCTTTTGGTTATAGCAGCAAGGATTCTGTCCGCAGGGGTTGTTCCAAGGTCAAACCCATCCAGCACAATCTATATTAATTCAGCACTGTGCTCATCTGAGCCAAACCAAACCCAGTGCACAACAGGTCTACCCAACACCACGAAGGAAACAGGAAGTCGCGGCTGCTGGGAAAAAAAGACTTCACTAACAAACACAACATGCCCAAGTTCACTGAGCGTTGGTTGAAGGCAGGATTTACGACTCCAAACCAAGGAGATACCTTCTGTGAGTCATAATCATGGTTCTAAATCCGTTTGGAAAAGCCCTCCACTTACCGCATTGTACTGCAAGGGTTTCGATTTTGGCTCATCTGATGGGTATACGCTTCAATAGAGAAGGATCCCAAAAAATAGAACGGTGGACACAGCCTCATATTGTAATGAAATAATCATCTCTGCAAAAGGGTACAAATTCCACGCCCTGCTGGCCTTGATTTCAGCCCGGCTGCCAAGGTGCCCCTTCTTCTTCGAGCACCACTTTGTGTGCTCAAGGGCCTCAGTCACTTCGTTCTGGACCAACGGGGAAACGCCCCATAAAACATGTTCTTGAGAACCCCGGAAAGCGTTCTTTCAATGGACCCAGTGTTAAAGAGGGTTCCAGCCAATTCGGCTCAGAATGCCCACAAACATTAGACGTGCAGGGGGTTGTTAACTGGAGATTGTCAGGCTTGACACCAAGCCCCAAATTCAGGGGGAATTCTTCAAAGCAAAAAAGTGGCTAAGCATTTCTCTTCAGCCGCGCAAACTGACCACTCTGTGTCGTCTAGCTGCAAAAAATATGTGGCACTGAGTCAAAGAAAAGCTGCGAGCAGTCCTCCGTTCTGATTTTGTTGATCTGGAAGCATTGACCTTTTCACTGGTGTTTCCTCTCACAACTTAAACGTTGCAAGTGACCAGCCGGCCCAAGCACCAAAAAAGTGGAGGGGAGCAGCCCCAGCTTGGGGGCGCCTTGGACTCGAAAAATCGCATGGAGGACACCGTGGTGGACATCCAGGTCTCAATGGCCCACTTTCGCCGGGCAGACAGAAGAACAAGGTGCTCAGTGTTCCATGTATCAAATGCTGAAAAAACGTCGTAGGCGGTAACGCTTGTTCATGGCCGGAACGCCTCGAAAGTCGATCCCTGGCGTGGAACCTTTGCAGCTATTCTTGGGCAGCAACAAGACAGGTGTTTGCATCGCCAATGGTGGCCTTGAGCATGGCACGGGGGCCGGGCTCAATGCCGCGTGCCCGCACAAGAACGGCGGCAGTGCTTTGGGCCAACACAGAAACCAGAGTGGTTCAAGGTGGCATCTGCGATGTGGCAGTGGCTGAGCAGCTCGCTGGCACAGGAGGCTTTTGTACAGTCGGTGCAGGCTTTTTCTTTCGGGCGTTGTCCAGATCGGGAGATACACCAAAGTTCGGATCACCCACTCCTTGATTTCACCACCTCACTTCCGCTACCGGTTTTGTGACATCACTATGTGTGGTCAAACTGCAGCAGTTACCCCATTGTTCTTGAACCATTGAGTTGGCCCCATCATCTTAGGCGCACTGGATGGATGTATATTTTCAGACTTGGATCACTGTTGATAGGTGGCATCACCATGTGTTTGCAACAGTGTTGCAGCGCAGCTGCTGGTTGACATTTTCCCAGTGCGACCTTTGAGAACTGTCTTTTTGGTCCAAGCGAGGCTTCATGCCTCTTCCGAGTAGCCTGCAGGTAGTGTGGGCTGTCATGTCTCCGCCTTCGGGCCCTGCGCCGTCCACCAAAAGTCCACAAAAGCTGCTTAGTCGCTCTGGCAAAAAGGAATTCTGTTGGGGGTTTACCAGTTTAAGTGGGAAACCTAGCAAAAAGGTCGACAAGATCTGTGCCACTGAGTCACTGAGGCTTCACATCCCGCGAACCATAAATCTCACCAAGGCGCGTGTCTCGGACGCATAGCCAAGGCAGTTCCAGCAAGAAGCCAAAAGCACCAGAAGAGGTGAAAAGTGGCATCATAGGCATGGCCCACATGCTCACCTTGGCAGTTTGGCGGCGTAGACGAAATGGGGTGGTGCGAGATAGGTGGGCGAAATCTCTGTTCAAGCAAGGTGCTAGCGCAAGCCGTGCTATCAAACTTTGTCATCTTAACAGCAGTTGTTGGGCCCAATAGAGGGCGGCAGAAAAGAGAAAAGTCAAAGTCAAACATACATGTTCATTCCGTACGTGACGCTGACAACTTACAACTCGCAGATCTTCCTGGCACAACCAAACAAAACCAAAATAGAAGCTGAGATCCGGTTCTTCAAGGACTCGTGTGATTTAGTTCGTGCCGAACTAACAAACTCTCTCAACACATTTTTCAGAACTGTCCCTGTTGCCTCCCGACATAAATCAGACCAAAAAAAGACTGTATCCTGAGCCTGGCGGCTTCTGCAAGTTGGCAAACCACGTACTGAGCTTCATGCTGCGCTGACCAAAACCGCGCAGCCCAAGAGCGCATAGGTGCAAGTGGGTGTGCCTAGAAATTAGGCGCACTCCCATGCGCTGCTTCTCTTCTTGTCAGTTTGTAAATAGCCCGCAAAACTTGGCAACTTACTGCAACAAAGGCGTAGCACACATCGCTCAAAATGGGGGGATCTCGCATGCTGCGTCCAGATCCTACTCGCAGCATGCCTGCGCACAGCAAAAACGATGATCATGCAGCAGGAAAACGCAGGTGCGCTGCGCTGCGTAGCACGTGTGTCACACAGTGCACTCAAAGGAGTTAAGCAGCTTCGGCTCATGGGAAAAATGATCCCAACTGCCACTTCGACAAGGAAGCCAAGTAGCATACAGGGCCAAGACATCAAAATATTGCCACAAGACTGTGACAGCGCTGCGCCGAAATCCGAGCATTAAAAGACATTGAAAGCAGAATGACCACGACGCACAAGCAAAAATTCCCGCTCAAGCCACTCGCCAAGCCAGAAAGCGACCTGGTTCTACCAGAATGTTGCCTCCTGAATGGCTCCAAAGCTTCGAGACGGTACAGCCGGCAACCAAAATGTGCCAATTGAGTCGTCTCCTCCCACTTTAGGACTGTCTTGATCCCATGAGAAAACCTTTTAGTCTCGGGGGTGACCCTTTTTTGAGAAGCGCCCAGCCATGTCGGATAGACGAAAATCTACTTCTGAACCAGAGCGGTGTACCACTGCTCTACGTGGGCCAAACGGGGAGCCGGCGCCTGTGATGCTTGGTCGTGACAAAAAGGGGCGCAAGGCATGGTGCAAGCCTCCAGAGTCCACGTTGACATTGTAGTGACCAACTGCCAAATCACAAGTGGAGGCAAAAATCACACATCACTATGTGAGCCACACTGCGCATTTCTCTTGCAGAGTGCGCATTATCATCAAGTATTGTCATGTTTGTGCCATTTGCAGAAGGTATCAGTCCAAGCGTCCAAGCACCTTGCATCTCTTGACCTCCCATCAAGAGTCTCTTTTGGGCTGTGAACCATACAGCAAAATGTATCTTATAAAACTGGTCGCCCTTCAAAAGCTTAACTTGACGCAGGCTTCACGGCCACTGCTTGTGCATTGCAGTGTTCGTAAGACCAATATTGGGTCAGTAGCATCGCTATTGGAAGCAAACTGTGTTACGTTGTTATGGCGTTGCCAATCACTTTCCCAAGCTGGCACCGAGTCAAGGTGGCATCATTAAGGATGTCTCGGTGTGTTCTTGCTCTAGATACTATTGCCAGAACTTGGGAGAAAGAAAAACATTGATCAGAGATGCTTTACAAGCTCCATAAGTCGAGTTGTAAACTTGTTCAGCTAAACCTTGCCGCAGTAGCTTCCAGGGAATTGCAATCTTGCAGCATTGTGCCGATCGAGCATGCAGAGTGGTCAAGTGCATCAATATTGTAATGCATGGAGTCATTTGCCACGCTCAAAGGGAACCTGTGTCCCAAATGGATTCCTACGGACTCCTTGAACATGTATCCCAAAGCCCCGCCGGCAAAATGTCAGCCTCCTTCTGCTCCGCAAGCCCCTGCTGCTGCGAAGCCAGCTGATCCTCCTGACAGCCACGTGAGTGTGAACAACTCAGAGCGTGTTCTCGAGTTGGTAGCCTTTCTGTTGGTTGCCTTTGCGATTGAGATGTATCAATTTATTGGGGGGGGGGTTGGGGGGGAGGGGGGCAGGAGAAGGCCCCAAAAAAACACTAGGTCTGTTGGTTGGTTTATGGGAAACCAGCAAACCCGCGGTGTTTGACACATTCACCCCACATGCCCTTCGGACCTGCGCTGCCAGCTGCTCGGCCTTCCTTGGATGGAGCCACCCAGCCCCCCGGAAATCCCAGACAGGCCGCTTCAGCGAATCGCTGGGAATTTGGGCAAATTACACCCGGGTTTGCTTTGTGCCAGGCCACCCACGCAGCTCCTGCACAAGACAATCCAGTGCCTAACGCATGCAACTGGACATTCTACACACGTGCTTGCACAATCCAGGTCCACTCCTTCTCTGCAGCCACAACTTTGGCACGCTGCTGCTCTACCTGATGTCGCTGCTGCTCCAACTGCTGTTGCTGCTGCTGCAGCTGCTGTTGTTGCTGCTCCAGCTGCTGTCGCGTCTGCTCCAGTTGCTGCCGCTGCTGCTCCAACTGCTGTCGCTGCTGCTCTTGCTGCTGATGTTGCTGCTCTTGCTGCTGCTCTTGCTGCTGTCGCTGCTGCTCTTGCTTCGCTCGCTGGCTTTCCAGCTGCTGTCGCAGCTGTGTCATCTCCTGTCCAGATCGGCCACTCCCCGCTCGCTGTGATTAGGATTCAAGGAAATAGTAGCTTGCAAACAACAAAGCATTTGCACACAACTCACAGGCAAGCAAGCCTCATGCAAACATCACGCACCAGCCAAGCCGTTGGGGGGGGGACAAAAAGAAATGTCTAGGCCATGCATGAGTGGCTGGCAGCTCCTTGGAGAGATGTTCACTCTGCTCCTTGGTGCTTTGCAGCTCCTGCACAAGATCTGTCAAACTCCAGATGACCCCCCTGGACGACGCAAATGAAGCATGTCACGAAACACGATGAGTCGACGCTCTGAGTCCCTCAACTTGTTCGCTGCTTTCATGGAAGCCCAACTCAATCCATCCCTCGCTCTCGTTCTCTCTGGGCCTTCAGCTGGCTCTCTTGCTGGTCCCTGGTCTGCGTGGCCTATCATCTCAACGTGTTTTTGTAAGCTTGGCTGGCTCTCTGAACACGGTTCCGGCTGTTGAAACTGGATATTGATGACTACTATGCGCAAGCAGCCCAATGCGCATCTTGTGGGCTAAGCAGCCCGTCCCAAAGCTCTGCACCCCGCTCGGGCTCCAGCGTTGCTTGAGCAGCAGCACACAAACAAGCCACGAGCGAGGCACCCGGGTCCCAAGTGCACGCGGGGCACACGGTGCAGGGTCCGCAGTTGGGCACAACAAAAAAAGTGGACATCTCTCTGCCTCTGTTGGGATGCAAGATTGGCACAATGGCCTGCAAAGAATGATATATTACACATGCCGACGACCCTTGGTTGCCAAGTGCTCCTCACACTGGCACCGGAAAAACCCACCAGCCTGCAACTGCAAGCGCTTTTGCCAGCCGCGCATCGATTGCTGAAAGTCTGCCTGCTGTTGCGCCAGGGCCTTGCCGCATCCCCCAATTGTTGACCCCATGATGATCAACCCCAGTTTACCAATAGGGGGGTGTCCCTGGGTTTAGTGGGGTATCATCACTTTTGGAGAGGAACACTGCCCTGTTGCCATACTCAGGGCTCCCTATATTTCCCCTTAAAACATCACACCCACCAAGGAACACTCACCTTTCATGGGCCTGGGTGTCTGTCTGCGTGTCTGTCTGTCTGTGTGTCTGCGCTTCTGTCTGTGTCTGTCTCTCTGTCTGTGTCTCTGCGTGTCTCTGTGCGTCTGTGTATATGTGTATGTGTGTGTGTGTGTTTCTCTCTCTCTCTCTCTGTCTCTCTGTGTCCGTCTGTGTGTCTGTCTCTCTGTCTCCGTCTGTGTGTCTGTCTATCTGCCTGTCCTTTTGGCTGTGTGGCTCGGCGCGTCTCTCTGCCTGCGTGCCTCTCTGCATGCCTGTCTGCAAGTCTCTCTGCGTGTCTTGTCTGGGTCTCTCCGTGTGTGTGTGTATGCCTGTGCTTGCTGTGGTTGTGCTGTTGTATGTGTGTGTGTGATCTTCCCTTTCGTGGTTGTGTGTCTGTGTACTTGTGTGCTTGTGTCTGCATGTTTGTCTCTCGGTTTCGAGTTGTTGGGCTTTGTCTGATTTTGCGTTTTGGTGCTTGTGTTGTGTTCTCTTTCCGGTTCCGCCCCGCCGTCCCAAGTGCCCATCCCAGCTCCTCTGCCCTCTGCGTCTTGGCAACAGCCTCATGCATCTGGAGGAGATCCTGCGCTTCATCTGACACAAATGCCAACTCGGAGTGTGGTCGAGCAATCGGTCTGAAAACTCTTTCACCAAACAGGGTTGTTGTGATTGTGCGAAAACCCGAGAGCACGAGCTCCTGAATCAGCAAAAGACTGAAAAACATAGAATGCCACCAAAGCGGAGGAATTGCTAGACGTTCGTTTTTGTGAAAGCTTCGCATAGCTCCCTATCACGAGCGGAACTCTTGATACACAGGCACCATTGCACGTCCTCGATGTGTTGCCGCACCTCTATATCGGCCTTGCCGAAGGGTAGAAATCAAAGTGCATGCTGTCTTGTAAGCAGGGCCACTCTCAGCCTGAGGACATGAATAGCCTCTCTGAACCCTCTGTCTTGTATTTATATGGGGTGCCAAGTCAGGTCAAGGATTAGTGTTGAATTGATGCTCATTTGAGCAGCAAGATCAACAAGATTGTCCACTCGCGTACGATTGACGCTGGATCCTCAGCACAATCGTCACTGCCACAACTGCCATGCCCTCAAGAGGAAAGCCTTGCCTTGTCAATGACGATTCGGCC